GGTGCCCTTCGGAGTGCCCGCCTCGGCCACCGTGCGGCGGCGCGCGCAGGCCGGCCTCTGCGTGTGCGCCGGCAGCGAGCCGGTGTGCGGCAGCGACGGCGGCACCTATGCCAACCTGTGCCAGCTGCGCGCCGCCAGCCGCCGTGCCGAGAGGCTGAGCCAGCCGCCGGTCATCGTTCTGCAGCGCGGCGCCTGCGGCCAAGGTACCAGCGGCGGCCCCGCGGCGCTCTGGGCGCTTCCCCTGTTCGCCGGGACCGGCGGGCCAGCTGAGGGGCCATGAGGGGTGGCGGAGCGATTTGCGCACCCGCTCGTTGGAAGGGGCGCGCGGCGGCTCCGAGATGGCAGCGATGCGCGGGCTCCCGCCCTGAACTTTGCTGCTGGCAGAGGGCCGGTTCCGTGGCCGGCGGGTGCCGGGCGCGCAGGAGCCCCATAGCGCCGGGAACTCGGGACAAATAAGACAGAGGAATGTGGGCATGAAGGGTGGAGAGAAGTTCGCGAGTGGGAAAGGCGTCCGACCGACCGGTCGGAGGCGTTGGGGCGACAAGGACTGATCTCTGCCGCTCTCCTTCCTCTCTCCCGGCCCCTAGATCTTTCAGTAACTGTGCGTTAGTTTTATTATGGACCTTTTCTGAAAACTTTATTTACCGCCCTCGGTCTCTTTTTAAGGGAGTGGGTGGGTGGGGAAAGAAACAGATACTGTCACCCGAACGACTCCGCAGCCCCCTCAGATGGCAGGGACCGGTCTGGAAGCTGCAGGCTCTCGGCGCCTTGCTGCCTGTCTTGCTCCGCTTGTTTAGAGCCAACCCCACAGAAATGAAAGTGACTCTCCTTCAGGACACCGAATGGGGCTTTGGATCCGCAGGGGCAGAGCAGGGAGCCGGCTGGGAAGGAGAAGGGACGGGTACCCTTCTTTGACCCGGTGCATCCACAGGACTGCTGGCAGGGAGGTGGTGGAGATGGGACGCAGGAGAGTGCTCGTCGCTCTCTCACAGGCCTCCGGGAGAGATGATTCTTGAACTCAGGCAGAGAGACCATGTGGAAAAAACGGAGTTCAGCCGTGGCCAGGCCAGCTGTGTCCACAGGGACCCGCCAGCCGCACTTGGCCAAGCACCCGGCCGTAACCACGCTCTGTCTCCGAGCCCAGCACCGCCTCCCCAGCTCTGGCAGTGCGTGGGGGGCGGGAAGTGGGGGCAAAGGGCTGGTCCAGTTTCTTTATAGGGATGTGGTTCAGCATGGCCGCTAATGTCTGGTGGCAGTTTGGCTCACCAGGGGAGCAAGGTGCCAGAGTGATGGGGTGAGTGGAGACTTGTGTATTCCTCAGGCCAGGAGCACAGAGCCGGCTTCAGCCTCTTTAGGGCTGGAGATCCTGGGAGAAATGGGGGTCTGTGAGGACCAGCGCTCCAAGGAAGCTGACGATGGGACTGACTCAACAGTGCAGGGCCCTCCCTGAGGGTGAGGGGTGCCTGAGTTTCCTAGCACTGTTGTGACAGATACAACAGTGGGGGGTTCAGGCATTTATTTTCTCCCAGCGTAAACCAAAAACCAAACC